TAATTGCCAATAGAAAATCTTTGAAACAGAAGGTTTCAATAAATCCATGCCCTGTGCAGAAACTTTAGGAGGCTGTTGCTCCATGAGATGAGAGAACGAAGTTAAGAAAGAATAATCTAGTTGCTCCAGGAAATAAGGGCACGACACTTGCAAGAAGTAAGAGACATCCCCAGGATGAGGGAGTAGACCAGAGGCCTCCAGGGAAATTCCCTGAAAAGAACAAACAAAACATGAAGTTGAAAAAATACCTAAAATTCAGGGAGGGAGAGACAGAGAATGCACGTGTGCTGTATGGGTTTCTGGGCCGAGGACAAGTTAAGTTTTGTTTTCTAGGGTGGGAAGCCAGTTGATAACATTTAAAATAAGAACTAGTAACATCCACATGTTTTTCACAATATGGAAGGTAAATATATTTTCATCAGCTAAAAGAAAGCAAATCCGTCTATGGAGCGGGAAATGGGGGCAGGAGACAGCAAGTGCAAGTACGGTTTTATAACCAGACTTGAGGAATGATTTGACTCTTTAAAACAAATACGTGCATAACTTTCATAAAAAATAAAAACTCTGTTTAAAACTTTCACAAAGAAATAATTCAAAGTTGCTATATCCTTTGAGTAGCCTCATATAAATTAATTTTTTAAGTTCTTGTCTGCTGTTGCTTTTCTGTTCCTTTGTCATAAGCACACACTCCCCGAACTTAATCACATAGGAAGACCTATCCAGTTTCCCAGCAGTTTCTGCCCATTGCACCCCCTTCCCATTCCTTACTTTCAGGTACTCTTCTCTCCTCTGCAGGGTTAGCGGGAACTCTGCCTCGCCCTCTGCCTCTTGTCCTCTTTCCCTCCCTCCCACCGATCACCCGTGCCAGCACCAGCCTTTCTGAAAGACAAATCTAATCGTATAACTTAGAATCTTTCAGTGAATGCTAACAAAGACAGTAAAATCTAAACTCCATGTCCCCTATTTATAAGCAAAACTTCCACCCACTTTTTGCCTTCCATGTCTCTATTCCTTCTTAGCATCCCAGCCATAGGGGCCACTCAGTGTCCTGCCTCCCAGTGCTTCCCCGTGCTGTTGGCTGACACCCCACTGGCCTCGCAGTCTTCCAGTCTAGGAGTTGTCACAGCCCTTAGCACATGTCACTGTAATCAGCTCTGTCCTGTGTCACAATTAGTTTTATGCTTCTCTTCCACTGGAACATGAAAAGAAAGTTGAGATGGTGTCTTATTTCTTGTCACATCCTTGATACTTAACTCAGTGTATGGAACAAAATGGTTATTTAACAAATGTTTGTTAGATGAGTGAATACATGAAGTGTAACAAAAAAAAACAGATATTGTTAGAACTTCTTCCTTGAATATTTTCTATACTTCATGCATTTTTACTGACAGACTGTAATTCTGAATACAGCATTAAAAATCACTAAGTTTAAAGAAATAAAATATGCCTACAGATTTATATTCTTATTAACTAATTAATAAATACATAAACTGACCTATGGTTTTGTCTCATTTGAATTTAAAATTAAAAGAAGCAAAATTTTGAATCAGGCTTGCAGTTTCTTTACTAAATTTTACTACACACTAATTTTTTCAGGCTTCATTTCAATGACACTTTTGAGATGTGGAAATAGAACTTGAGCCCGGACTTGTAGCATATGCCTACCATCATTGCATTAATGGTAATAACTTTCAATGAAATCCTTGAAGGTTTTTGCACTGCATTGGCTCATTTATTCCTATAATGTAGGGATTTTCAACCAGTGTGCTGAGGTAGGCACACCAGTGTGCTGCAAGAATTTTTGAAACATGCTATACCTACCTACTTAGGGGCACTGACCTCCTTTCCCTTAGATTGTCAGATAAAAAAATGACAACAGCCAACACAACAATAGCCATCTGGTGTGAATGAATCAAAATTAAACTTATTTTTTTTGTCTGATGGACAAAAAATATATTTTTTGGTTGCTGCAGAACTTTAGTAATTAGTGTATGTGTGCCAGGAGAGGAAGAAGGTTGAAAATCACTTCCTTGATGGGTCATTAGATAGGGACTGCAGAGAAAACTTGCGCCTGCGCAGTCAAGTGGTTTGCTTCAAATTTCACAGCTAGTACCAGTGGTGCTGTGGACTTAACATGCTGTCATTCTGACTTGTCTATACCCTGTTCTGTCTCCAGGGCTTACACCCTGGTCACCAGTAATTCTGCACTTAATGCTTGCTAACTTACTGTGTTTCAATTGGTAACAATTTTGGCATACACCTTTGTGTGTTCAAAGATGGAAATTCTTGAGTAAAGTCTTTTACTAGACAAAGAGTGTGCTACTCCAAATTTGAAATTGCCCTCTTTCCAAAAATTTAATTAAAAATTCTTACATTATTCTACCCAAAAGCTAATAGAGAAATGAGGACCAGCAAGGACAAAACCTTACCAGGGTCTTAAACACTGGATGAAAATCACTTTATATGGAGAAGGACATGACCTTGTCTTATACTTGGCTTTCTCCCCGACTGCAAAGAACAAAAGTTTCATTATTTTTATTCATGATTTACTCCCTACCCTCACCTGGTTGGTCCATTTGAAGCCCATTTTGAATGTTGCCATTTTATAGCTGGGAAGTTAAACTAGTAAGGGTTTTTAAATAATTGAAGACAAAAAATAAAATCTTTAAAAAATAAATAAATAAATAGTTGAAGACACTGCACATTGTAACTGGACAGTTTTCCTTCCATGTAGTAAGCCCTCAGCAAATATGTTTCCAGAGCACACTGCGTGCATCGGATGCCCTGTGCATGCCTGGTTGTCTTACAGGACACTTAACACAAATTGGCTTTGTTTTCAGTAAAGAGATACAATAAATTATGTTAAAGCCTTAATTTAAGGTTTTGTTGTTAGCTCATTATTTTTGTTTTATATTTAACCCGTGATTATTTGTTTTATTTGCTATTTATACCTAAATACAAGAATTTATGCCTGTTTCTAAATATTTACTATACCTGGCCTTATACACCAAGGGCTGTGTGATTTGGAGAAATGTCACAACTTTCCTAAGTATCAGTTTTCTCACCTGTACAACAGGATAGTAACTGTACCCTTATAATAAGATTATCATAGAAACCTAATGAGATAATGCAGATAAAGTTCTTGGCTTAGGGCCTGGTCTCAGAAAGCTTTCAGTAATTCATTGGCATCTTAGTGATGGGAGGAGTAGTAACTTCTCGTTGCACATCTGTCCTTCCGTAGTTACTTTTCCCTGGGGCAGGGACTGTGCTGTGTCTGTCTCTGCGCCCCCTCCAAGCATAGGGCCTGCTGTGGATTAGGTACTCAACATGTAGTTATTGAATCGAATGGGGTGGGCATATAGTTTTTTAAATGAGAAAGTTGTTTTCCAAATGACTACACTTAAGCTTAGAGAAGTTCTCTTTAACAGGTTTTTGAGTAGCTGCTATAAATCAGTCACATAGATTATGCCACTTAATCTTCAGGCAGCTTTTGTGAAAAGTTCAAATGGTGTCTCAGGATTCCAACCCACACCTTCGTAACCCACGCCCATAGCCATTGCAGAAATCTACAGGAATACTTCCCGGGTCTGTTACTAATATGTAACACTATAGCATTTGGGAGAATAACTTCGTGAGTTATAAAATGAATTGATTATCTGCATTTTATTTATTTGTTAGATCTCAAAGAAGGACTACAAGAAAATATTATAATGTTCTCGGTGTCCTAGCTTTTTGACTTCTAGAAAAAAAGGACATGAAGTAACTGAATGTGAACATGACAAAATGTACAAATAAGAGAAGGAGAGTCTGAACAGATATAGGAAGGGTAGGATAAGTGAGTACTTTACAAATGAAAGCAGATGTATGAAATTACAAGCTGTCAGATCAGCAACGGAAATGAAGATGATAAAGTGGTTCCTTACATAGATTATAATTATTCATTTTTCCCAGTCCTGTCTTCTTTCCCCATAATGTTCATGGGCAGAGGGAGGGGTGAGAAGCTATAGCAAGTAATGGTGTTTCCAACACAAGGGAGAAAAACACCTATGAATCGGTGGTATTTCTGACCACATGCAATTATTTATTTTGCAATTGGTGTTGTTTCTGTTGAATGACAGTTGTTTTCCCATGGAATTTTTTTCAACTACTCTGATTAATAAAAAAGATTTGGTTTCAGCCACAGGAAGTTGTAACCATAAAGTTTCTTCACAATCAGTGATGTGTAGGCAGTCAGTGCGCTTACAAAACAAGCATCCTCAGTGGGCCCGACTGTGACAGCAGCAGCAGATGGATTGCCAAGAAATGAAGTAGTTTACATAGACCTGCCTGAAAGATGTGTTTAATAATTGTGCCCATAATTAGGTTGATTTGAAAAAGAATTAAATGACAGTCTAAGGCACACAGTTAGGCTCATCTATGAAGATTTTGACATTTTCCTCCAAGAAATGCTGCATAGATAGTTTCCTTCAATTTCTTATTAGCTTTAGAAAAACAAATAATTGGAAGATATCACATTTTCTAAAATGGTGAATTATGTAATGTTTTATATATACAAAGGAATATGCAACATGTAAGCTATGAAGCATAATAATCAGGGTAAATATTATTTTATGAAAATTTTAAACTGATTTTTTTTCCCATTCGTGAGATTTTTATAATTTCTAAACAAAACTGGAGACATTTAAACACAGCCATATAAATGGCAGTAAACATGCATGCTTCTAAGCGTTTATTTATATTGCAAACGCACACACACACATCTATGTCTGAGGCTTTCCCTTTCAACACACCCTGAGGATAAGTGCTGGTATATTAGATTGCAGTTAACAGTACAGTGTGTTGATTCAAAGGCCATTTGGTAAAGATCCCTTCTCCCTGTTTCCTTTTATCAAATAAATTGAGTTATTGCTTCAATTTCTTTGAATCTGTTACATTTTTACTCAGAGAAGCAAACGTCTTTTAAAATATTGCTTCTAAATTATTTTTTTCCTCTTATTTAGTGATCTCTAGTAACTACCAGACGTGTCTCGGCCTTCTGATGCATTACCCACGCATTGGGGATGTCCACTCACTGATCCTCAAGGCTCTGTTCCTCCGAGATCCAAAGGTAAGCTTCCAAGTAGGAGATGCACGGTTTTAAGTTGGATGAAAAATTGGATTCTCTCTAGAGAATTCCTAATGTGGAATTTGTCTAATAGCAGAAAAATTGCCTAATGAAAGAATTTGCCTAGAGTTGTAGGCCAGAACTCATATACCTCATTGCCTAGCAACTCAGCAGGCAAATTAACTGGTGCACACGTCTCTTATCACCTAGAAGGTTGTCTTGCTCTCCTGCCTTCCTCATAATACAAGAAGGAAGATGAACAACTGCTTATCCTTATAACTACCTTCATTATGACTGGAACTTCTCACAAGGCCAACTTATCCAAGTAGAACCTCAGGGGCCATGTGAAGAAGACCAAGATATCAGAGCTATAAAAAAGGACTAGTACTGTAACAGTTTATGATACAATGAAATACTACAATATTCCATATTATAAATATGTATTTCCTAATTTGTGGGTGAAGAAGAACCTAATAAAACAAAGATTTAAACAGATTATAATGCTGATGTCTCTAGTTGAACTTAAAGCAAGTCACCAAAATTTTCTTTACACTTCCGAGAAAAAGTGTGCTCTTTTACAACTAATGTTATATTTCTTGAAAATAAGAACATTTAATGATCTAAAAAAATGTGTGAATTCTTGATGCGTTTGAGCCAAACAAAAATATTGGATGAAATATAAGAGAGAAAGCTTCAAACACGAGTAGGAGAATGCCAGCCATTGGGTGGTAATCCCAGCCTTTGGCTCTTTGGCAGAACTCCCAACAGTCTTGTTGGCAGTTGTCAAACTGTCTTTGAGTCAGTCTGTCTGCGGATTCTATTGCCAAAGCTCTGTCTGATCAACTTGGGCCTCCATGTACAATACATATTATGATTCAAAAGGATTTCTGCCCTTTCCTCGGTTGTTAACTTCCACGTTTGAGTATACTTCCTATTTATTCTTGGATTGATTGAAAATAATATATTTCCTTGTACTTCTATCCATTTTCTGCAGAAATACATTGTATATAATTTCTCTTAACAATTTCATTAAGTATTAGAAATATAGTCTTGTTTCTCTGATATATAAGATAGCTTTTTTTTTTCGGGTAAGGTTAAACCATCTGACTATGAAAATCAAGTCCCATATTTTATTTTATATATATGTTATATGTAAGTGGTATTTATTAAAAAAATAAAACTATGAAATATCTAGAAAAGAAATGAGGTTGCTGGCCAATGAGCTTTGGTCTGCAAACTTAGGCTAAATTCTGTCAACTCAGCATTAGGAATTCTTAGAGTGATGCAGAGTGGGGAAAATTGCAAAAATAACTATTTGAATTATCTACTTGCATGATTTGCATGGTTTAGTTGAAGGAAGAAATGAATATGTTATCTAAATCTATCAATCGTGGTAATTTTTCCCTAGCTAATTATGGTTGATCTTACTATGAATCATTCACTATTTTAATTGCAGAATTCTATATACTAAATCTGTCAATGTTATTAGTGTAATCTGTGATTTTAATAGAGTACTTTTATCTCAATAATATAGTATACATAATATATGAATATTATGAAGCCAAGTCTATAAGCATTCAAAAATATATTTTCTGAGGTTTAAGAGAAAAAAATAATGGCATATCTAAAAAACAATAACCCCTACTTTTTTACATTCAGGATCTTACCAAGTGAAAACATGATTAAGATAATGGTCCAAAATACAGAACCTTAAACTGATATTTCTGAAACATAAGAAATTGCACAGGAGAAGGAAGTAGTTTAAAATGCTCATGAAAGCATGTTTAACTTGCTATTGAGAGCAAGTTCATGGACGATATCTATAGGAAAAATAAAGATGTGTAGCATTAAGGGGCTTTCAGATAGCTAACTCAGTAAGGTGACAGTTTTAAGTTTATACATTGGCTGACCCCCTGGCATTATTCAAAAAAAGTCAGATGATAACTAAGGTCACCTCATTGTAGATCTGTCACAGCATAATGTTCTGCAAGGAGCCTGAGTGGGAACTGGAACATTAGGTCAAATCTTGACGTTGCTACCACCCCTTCCTTGTGATTTTGGAAAACTCATGCTTGCTGAGTCTTGGTCTTCTCTTTTGTGATTGAAATTAAGTGTCTCTAATGACCCACCCACCCAGAGCATCCTTTGTCCATAAAGAACTGACTTCTAATGATCTAACAGGATTTAGTCCAGTGCTACAAAGATACAAGAACAAAATGCAACTTCGTATATATTATAGAAATCCACAAGTAATTATTTAGAGTTTAGAGTGTAGATAACATCTATTATGAAGTCATAAAGGAGGCCACTTATGCTGAGGGGGAAAAGTAGGGGGAAAGGTGATGCTAGTACCTCACCCGTATCCTCTAAAAATCCAAACACCAGAGTGCTTTGAATGCTTTCTGTTATTAGCAACAGTGAAACAGTTAAAATATTTGAATCATTCCTGATTCAAGTAGATCCAAGTAAGCAGATAAACACACAAGTGTCTATGAAGTAAGCTCGTAGAAAGATGAGGTCTCAGGCGTGTAAGTATACTTTTCATATCCCAGCTTCACATGACAGTCATGTTGAGTGCTGCTGGCAGGCTCAATAACAAAAATAAACGAACTCTGAGCTTCATTGTCAGTGTTCAGAAAAGCACTTTGCCCTATTGCTATCCCTAAATCCCAGTGGAGTTGCTGAGTTGAGAATAGACTTTGCAAGTAGAGCTTGAGACACTGAGCTGTAGTTGTTTTATATCAGATATGATGTAGGCCTTACTGTGAAAGATTTCTCATTTGAACAGACTACAATAATGGGCCTGTAAACTGTAATAATAGGATCGTATTCCTTCACAGTTCCCAAGCACTTTGATGTGCAATTTGGTCCTCAAAACAAGCTCGGAGGTAGGCAAAGTAGGTTATCTTTCCCCCTTGTTTAGTGCAGAGAAGTTAAGATTACACAGCTTTCCCAAGGCCAAAAAGCTGTAAGCTTCCAAGCTAGCCAGAGTGGCTCCATGGCCTTGTATCCACCCATCATCTCCTGAGATTCCCGGCATCTGTGCTCCCTGTTCCAGGATGCTGTTCTAAGGCTCATATAGGACCTGTTTTCCCCTTTGAGTCCCCACAGCACCTTGTATTTTAGCTCTTTGCTTACTGATTTTTTTCAATTGTTTCTCCTTAGGGTGCTGCCCATTTTTATTTTGTATTTATCTTTGTGTTCTTCAATGCTTATGTTAAGAAAATAAGGACTGAATTGAATTCTGACTCAAATGCTAAGCCTCTTCCAATACACCATACTGATTCTACTCTAGGTGTATCTCATTCACCTGGCGTATTTCTGGAACCCATATCCACATTTCACAGAAGCTATAGCCAATTATATATTTGTCAGCTGCCATTTATATCAGTATGGTGAATTAACCCTACAACTTGAACTTAAAGGGCACCTAGTTCCTTAATTTACTATGTGTCAAAATTATTTGAAAACTGGTTACCACCTTCAAATATTATGGAACAAGGAAGACATAACAAAGAATGCAATTAACATACCTGACTTAGACTGTCAGGTTTTTTTGGAACTGCAAAGAACCTAGAGAGTCTAATCTAGCTCTTCCTTGTGTCAATGACTACACTGAGGATCAAGGTGAAGTTTAGAGGGGGAACCCCAAGAAAACCAAAATTTATTTATAAAAAAATTGTGTATTTATTCTCACATTTAAACTTCAGTCACCTTCAAAGTACTTTCCATTTGATGCAATACACCTATCGAGACATTTTTCCCACTGTTCAAAATAGTGTTTGCACTCATTAATTTTGATACTTTTTAGTGCTTTTGCCATTTTTTGTTTCACTTCTTCCACATCGGCAAGGTGTTTCCCTTTGGTGTCTTGTTTCATCTGGGAAACAAGAAAAAGTCTCTGGGGGTGAGATAAGGTGAATAGGGAGGGTGGGGAATGGGGTTCATGCCATTTTGGTCAAAATCTGCTCAACACTCAGTACATTGTGGCCAGGTGTGCTTGTAAATCGCCCATCATGAAATGGGCAAACACATTGAAAGATTTAAAAACTTCTCTGAAGCCAAACACAGCCTGTCACAACAATGCCAACTGGTACAGTGACACAGATGGGTTCTTAGAACACTCTCCTAGCAAAGGAAGCCTGTACTATAAGGATTCCCACCCCCAGAAGAGGACAATTTTGGGGGTCTCCCACTCGTATTCAAGATCGCATTGCTCATCAATGGTAGAGTCATCAATTGAACCCAGGTCTTCTGACCCCCTTTCCACACTGGAACTGTAGTTTCATTAGTTTTAAAAACAGTGAAATCTTACTTACTGCTATTACTCACCCAAATTCTTCATTTGTACTAGACATATATTTACATCTATAATAAATGAAACTACCATGTATGTGTGGCCCAAGAATTATTTGAATTTGTTTAAATATATGCTCCATGTAGAAACTGAATGTCAAATATCTGTTTGTAGCATCCTACGTCCTGTTTACCATAAATAGGGTCTCTATACTTAGAGACCACAGTCCTAATTCTATTTTCCTTATCTTATCATATTAGAACCACTGAGCAGATTTCTGAAGACAATCCACTAAATAAGTAGAGAGAGAGAAGGAGGACAGTCGGAAAAATATGAAGTGATTAAAAAACATTGTTCTAACTAGTTGTTCAAATTCAAAAAAATTTTAAAACCCAATTAGAAACAAAAGTCATAGAAAATGTGAACATATTGTGTTCCTTAAATAACCAGATGTTCTCTCCTTCCTGAAGGCAGTAAGGGCTAGGAATAAAAGGTTTAAAACCATTGTTTTAAGTTAACTGTGAATTTTGAAAATCTGTTTTTACCCTTTAGCAAATAAAATTCTAATACAGAAACATAAGCAAAGTAATTTTCATTTTTTGGTTCTCTCTTATTTGTGTTATGTGTTGAAGTGTTAACCTTATCACAAAGACTTATTACAAATGAAGTACAGTACTCAGATTAACATTTTAGATTATGCAGTAAG